GTTTATTATCTGTTGATTATCATATGTATAGTATTCTCAACTGGACTGGTCTGAGAAGTAGTTCATGTTAGGTAAAATCTTTTTAGAAGCCAAAGGATATATACTGATTGAATATTTTTAAAAATGAGAATAATACTAATCTGAAAAAAAAATGGTGAAAAGCTATTTGATGACGATGATGTGGATAGTAATGTCTTTGTCTTAACTGATGTGCATGGTATTCCTGCCGGGAAAAGAAATGTAATACACTGTAAAGATATATGTGATTGAACGTAATATATAAAAATGATAATAATAAGTAAATTAAATAAAAAATTCAAAGGTTAATTATAAATAAAAGAAAAAGAAAATCTAACTGGCTGTGTGCATGCCTCCCCCAAATCGTGAGGAGAATGCAGAAGGGACTGTGGTGTGGCCGTTGCTCCCGGGGGATGATTTCTTACTGTCTCTGGCAAGTGCATGTGCTCTATGGCAAAAAAAAAAGTTAGCTTTAAATTATCCTATTACACATTACACAAGTCCAATCACTATAGATTCCCAGAACAAGAAGTCAAAAGCAGGACTAAGTTGTTAATTCACTAGGAGGGTGCATGCACTCACTGGGGTGGGGGAGGAATGAGAAAGTGAGAAAGGACTCCCTACACACACACACACACACACACACACACACACACACACACACACATACCCGATGGGGCATGGTTTTGCTGAAATCCCTTCTCCATTTCTCCTTTCAGGATTCTGAGCGCACATATGTCAGTGTTTTTCAAGCCACCAGGTCCAGGACTTGAACCACGTAGTTGGCCATGTGGGATCCAGTCACCTTAACTACCAGGCCACAGACTGGCCTCAAAGCAGGCATTTTACAATGACATCTGCTTTTCAGTCTCTTTAGAAAATGACAACGTGCCACATCTATTGTAACATGGATCACAAATTATACCACACTAAATTGAAGGGACTAAAGCCTCTCCAGTGTGTGCAAACTCTAAACTGCTTTCATTTATTCTATCTTTAAAAAAGTAGTATGATTGACTTTCTTCCAGGAAAAAAAAAACCTAGTTTCCTTCTGTAGGAAGACTGTGAAAATAGTGTGTGTTCCACAGATACTTAATTTTTACACACTGCTGCCACAATTAAGGAATATTTCTTTTCCAGTATTTAAAAAAAAAACAGGTAAGAATATAGAGAGTAACCATCTCATTAGTGTCAATAGTAGAATTAAGATAAAAATACAAAAGTTGTGTGAAACTGAGTTTTTTTAAGCATTTCATTTCAGAAATAAGCCAAGTTAACATTTATCTTTTGGGTCATTGGTGAAGTCACAATGCATTTTTGCATAGAAAAAATAAGTCGTTACTTTCCTGCGGACCTGATACACTTACTTGGCTTTTTGTCTTTAAAAATGTTATCTAGGGTATCTTAGACTTATTTTAATTCAGTATGGAGCCTCAAAATCATGTTCTTTGCCTGCAAATGTCAAAGAGAAATCAAGTTCCTCCACTTGCTATATATACAAGATCTTTGTCTTCCTGTGGTTGAGCTGGGACCATGGCTCATATCACCACACCCAGCTTTGTCAGACAGGGTCTCAATAGGTTGTCCAGGCCAGTTGCAAGACTGACATTCCTACCTCAGCTTCCCTGGGTTGCTTGAGTTACAGCCAAATAGGACCATGCAGTTTTCATGTTGGACTGGGCATCAAACCCAGGCCTCTCACATGGTCCAAGCCTGTAGGGCGCAGTATCCTAGCAGTGCCCTCCACCAGCACTGGGACAAACGGGTTCCTTCTTATCCTCCAGACAGTTAAGATTACATCTAATCCACACATTTCACAAAGAAGCAGAGTTAAACTGTATTGACAGACAGTGGATTTATTTCCGAATTTCAGGCATTAGTGATTTAAACACCTTTGTGCTTAAGTGTGAAAAAAATCAAATCCTTTTAAAAAAGTTCACAAATGGGCTTCTTGGTGGTTAAAAAAGTCAGACCCACACAGCCAACTTTGTGGCTTGAATACCAGCCCTCTGGAGCTTGCCTGTGGGTTGGTGGTTAAGGTGACTGGATCCCACATGGTTGACTGTGGTTTGAGTCCTGGACCTGGCAACTTGAGAAATGCGCTAGGCACATGTATGCGCATGCCCAAAACCCTAAAAGGGAGAAATGAACATGGAACTGTGGCATGACCATTCCCCACAGGTAGTGCTTTCTTACTTTGTCTCCCTCTAGCAAGCAACATGGTGATAATTTTTTTTGGGGGGGAGAGGTTTTTGCCATAGGGCACGTGTGCTCACCAGATAGACAAAGAGAGAGACAGAAAGCGAGAAATCACCCCCGAGGGGGGATGGCCATGCCGCAATCCCTTCTCCTCCATTCTCCTCTCGGGATCTTGGGCATGCACACACACGTGCCCAGCGTGAGTTTAAGCCACCGTCTCTCTGGTGAGCACACACGCCAAAGCAAAAACTTCTCCAAAAAAAAGAAAAACTTGCCAAGCGCATGTGCATGCATGTCTAAAATCTTGACAAGAAGGACAAATGGAGAAGGGATCGTGGCATGACCAGACGCTATCGTGGGATGCATTCTTCCTTTCCTTCTCTCTCTGGCAAGCACATGTGCACGCAGGTAAAAAACAACACACACACACACATACACACACACAAACATGATGATAGAAGGCCCCCATCAATATTTTCATAACATTTGGCAATAATGAAAACTAAACAAGATTTTAAAACTCTAGCAGTAAGATAAAGTCAAAGCATTGGAAATTACTTCTCTAAGCTTAGTCACTGGTGGTTCAAAAATCAACTTCCTATCTCAAACTCTGGTATCTAAATTAAAGGAGAGAGATCTACTGCAATGTGGGTTCCAGGCTTTTGCCTCAGAAGCAGAAAATTAAGCAGGAAAGCTTTATCCCAACATGTGCTCTAAGAAAAAACGCACTAATAGATACTTTTAATTTAACTCAAAAAACTGACAGTGGCATAAATTCACACCTTCAATGATTAGTACTTTTAAAGGTTAATGTGCTTTATTTACTCCTTTTATGCCAATCTGTCTTAGGTAAGAAGGTTTTCCTTTAAACTACTCATACAAATAGGAACTTAAAGAAAAAAACTGTTTTATCAAGTGAAATTATTAGTTTGTTTCATCCAATTACTTCACACTATACCATCTACTTATGACAGACAATATGGATACATTTAGTTCCTATGTCTGTATTCCAGTCTTAATATTTTCACTTAATGCTGTTTAAAACAAATATTTTAAATAGTTTTGTGTTTAAGTATCCAATTGAATAGATTTTAACAGGTGGAGCTGTAATGACCAAATTAGAATAAACACTTTTTAATTTCTTTATTCATGTTAGTGGGTGTACACATTCCTAAGAAAGAGAGAAAGAGAGAGAGGAGTAGAGAGAAAGACAGAAGAACACCCTCCATTGGTCTGGTCATGCAGCGAGCGATCCTCCTTCTCCCGTCCTCCAGCCCATCAGGTCTTGGGCATTTGTGCACCTGCCCAATATGTTCGGAACCGACTGGGATGGATTCACACCATACGGGATCCAGGCCTTTTTTTTGCTATAGAGCGCATGCGCTCGCCAGACAGATAGAGACAGAAAGTGAGAAATCACCCCCCCAGAGTGAATGGCCACGCCGCAATCCCTTCTCTTCCATTCTCCTCTCGGGATCTTGGGCACGCACGCACACGTGCCCAGCCTGAGTTTAAGCCACTGGGTCCGGGACGCAAACCGTGGTCGACTACATGGGAGTCCAGCGACATAGCCATTACGCTAACTGCTGGTCCCTTTTTCTTGAGGTTTTTGCTACAAGGCACGTGCGCTTGCCAGAGAGGCAGAGACAGAGAAGCAGAAAGCGAGAAATCACCCCCCAGAGGGGATGGCCACACCGCAATCCCTTCTTTTCCAGTCTCCTCTCAGGATCTTGGGCAAGCACGCACACACGCCCGGTGTGAGTTTAAACCACCGGGTCCAGGACTCGAACCGTGGTCAACTACATGGGAGTCCAGCAGCATAACCATTATGCCAACTGCTGGTCCCTGGGATCCAATTTCTCTTGAGTAGCACATTACTATTGTTCCACAGAGCAGCCTCTAAATCAGGAAAATATTTTGTTAATTCTTAAGGAATGCTGCAAAATAGTTTAGAAGTATCATTTTTATACAAACTGCTAGTGCAAAAGAAAATCAATAAGAACAGAAAATAATTCTGCCAGCATTCCATTATACCTAGATCAGTGGATAAAAATTCACCTCTGCTCTAGCCATTTTAGCTATGGAAGTGTCAATAAAACCACTTGTTAGAAGCAAAGAGATGGAATATGAAAGTATTTGGTAAACATACCACAGGAGACATCAAAATTAAGAAACCATAGATTTAACAGTAATTTAAATATGATTGTTGTACCATATTATACCAGCCTACAATATCAAGTCTTTTTTGTTTGTAAAGTTAGAAATAAATTAATGTATCTCAAGTCTTTGCAGCTCCATTTCATTTACAATGTACTTTCACATACACTGAATGAATCTGAAAATTTTGGCAGGTAAGCAGAACGGTCATTTTGGCTTATACTTTAATGGCATAAATAGTAATTTTCATGAATTTTAGACATGATAATATTAACTAATTAAGCCTAAAAGGTGATGAAAAGAATAAAAATTGTATAAATGGAGCTAGGCATCAAAATGACATTTTATTAAATATAATGTGCAAAAATAAAATGAAGTGACCTCTATTCAAAAAAAGGTACAAGTATTATTTAAAATGTTTTAGTACTCATTTTCAATAAAAAGAAATCTGGCATTATAAAAATACATAAAATAGTTATGATTTATACCATTAATTTACCTAAGATACCTTTTTTTTTTTTACATAAAACAAAGTTATAAAATAGTTTAAAAGATATTTTTCTGTGAAAGTTTTTCCCAGTATAAAATTTTTATAACTTTTTGTAATTTTGGTTCGTCTATATAAATAAGGCATTTATCCTTTTAAAATTCATAAGTCCATTTAAAAACATAGGATTCTCTTTCTTTTAAATAGAAGTCCACTTGAGGTAGTTTGTTAAAGGTTTTCTTTGGTCCCATTCAATCTATGTGTCCAGGTCATAAGACTGAAAATTTGGAGTCCTGTAGTTTTTTAAGGTCTGTTTATAGGCACAAATGTGATTTTCTTCTTGGAAATCTGTCCTTTCTTTCCCATCCTCCTCTGATTCAGAGTCCAAGTCCGGGGAAGAATAAGCTTTCAAGTGAAAGGCTCTTGGCTGACAATCTGATGGCTGACCAAAGCTTGAAAAAGCATCTAGGTGCGGTCTCCTGAGAGGTTTTCCAAATGTACCTGAAAAAAAGGAAATGCCATGAGCACACAGGTCCTTTTGCTTGGTTGGAAATCAACAAACATTTCAAGCAAAGCAGCATCTTAGCCCATGAACATGAATATGCATTATCTACAAGTCTCATGAAGGTACTCAGGTATGTGTGTTATCTTTGGTGAAGACAGATGACTCATAAAGAGTGGAAGATAATTTTAAAAGGGTAATTTAAAAAGTATGTGAAAGAAATGGCACTAGGTATGAGTTTATTTAAATGCAAAAATATCTGAAATTCATGGAATTGTTCCGTAATACCCATTTTCCATAAACTTTTGGGAGAATCTTGGAAATTACATGGCTTTTTATTTACATTAGTTGAATTAAATGCATTTTTCCTTTACCATATCTTATGATCTCACAACTATCCATGAAAGGGATTTGGACAATAACATAAAAAGCCAATCATGCCCAAGTATACAAAGTGTCTTTTAAAATAATCATCTTGCTTTCTTTAATTATAGTAAAATATTATTCAATTGATTGAAATTTTTGCCTCAGCTATACAAAACACACTGTTTTCATTTTTCAAATAATTATGTGTAATAATATGTAAATATATATGACATGTAAGTATATCAATACCAAAACATAAAATTCCTTAAAAGCTGGGTGAAATATTTTTAAATTCAATTTTTTTTTAAAGAAGGCAAGTATGGCTCATATTCCAAATCTCTATTCAGTGAAAAGACGATCTCAGTTATTCCATCCCATCCCATCCCATGCACTAGACCAAAAAATCCACAATCTAATCATGGCTGGCACCATCAACCTGGGCTTGAAGGTTCCAACGGTCACCTTTGCCAAAGGTAGTCCAGCTTGTCTGCCTAGCAGTTGTTGCTAGGCAGAATGCTGTTTTCCACCCTTCTACCGCGGGTTCAATTATAAGCCACCAGACATACTAAACCACAGTCATGCAGCGCTCACAACTCCACCCCAAAGGCTGTTGTAGCCCAAAACCACTTTTTCCACATGGCTGAGAAGCTGAGCTCCTAAGTCATTCCCCAAACTCTTGTTTTCCAACGATGCCACACACAGAGCTATCCCAGAAAGCTCAAGGCTTAGCTATAGATTAAATACAAAATCATGTAACATCCCCACCTCCGACTTTGCTCTCAGAAACATTTATACTAAACTAATAGAATGTTATGGCAGTATCACTTAAAAAAACCATGAGTTCGGCACACAGAGGTCTCCCATCTCTCCCACACACAACTTGGAGTATGGGTCCTGAGACAAGGTAACTAATAGTCTAGTAAACTTACCCATGAAAGAATTACTTGAAGTAACTGATGCTGGCTCTAGACTTGTACTGAAGTCTAAAGAGGACTTGTTGAGACATGGATTTTTCATCCCTGGTCCGTCACTTAGAGAGTAAGTAGTGTTAATTAGCTTCTTCATACGGGAAGGCCAGCCTCCACTACTGAGGCTCCGTTCGCAGTGTTCTTCTGAAGGATGGGAACATGGGGAACACTCCTTTTTCTTCATGTAACTGGGCTCATAGTGATCCATTAAAGCTGTTCTTGGGTCAGGACTACAACCTTTGAGATTTGGAGAGAATATTGAAAGGAGACACAGTTAGCACTTCTACAAGGAAAACACTTTTCTAGGGAAAAGAACAGGCCTCAGGTAAGACACACATACCTGTGTGATAGGCTTCAAAAGGATCTGAGCCATACAGATTTCCCTTCAAATACACAGGACCTGAGGTTCCCAAAAAGGGACAAAGGAATGGATCTGTGGCTGCTTCCACATCAGTTTCACTGCTGTTGTCAATGTGGCAGGTCCCTTTAAAAGAGAAATCTTAGTCACTGAACCAGTTTTATTAAAATGCCATTGTACATTCTCTCCAATTTTGTCATCTTCCATATTTATAGATGAAGGTTTGGCTGGCTAGAGCATCATATAGCAGAAAATATGGCCGAAACTTATGGTATAGGTTTTTTTTGTTAACTTACTGAGCAACTGAATAGCTTTAAAGAGGTCTTTATTAACACTGTCCTGGGATGTTGCCCTCATTGCTGGCCCCTCTCCCTTCCCAGGTTTCTGATAGAAAACTGAACAGTGCATGGATCCTGTAGCCAAAGCAGCCATGGCTTGACCCAGAGACCATTAGCACTGATCTCTTACAAAAGGTCACAGATGACCAGAACCAGAGACTGACACTTAACCAATGACCTCACAGTACCCAGTTCAAACACGAGCTCAGAAAAAGAGATCATTCTGTGGGGTGTCTGCGCTAAACGCCACAGAAATGATATGCCAATTAGTAGCAGACACAGCGGTCCAAGGACACACAGCATCGTCAGGGTCAGAGATCGTGATGGCCACAGGCCTGGCAAACAGAAACTGGATAAGGGCAGACGGTCATCAGAGAAACAGACGTGCAGTGTAACTCAGTAATGCTGGTGGCCTCGAGAGCTGCTCCAAGAGCAGACCAGCCTCTGGCCCTGGCACTGCAGTACTCCCGGCTCCATCCCTGGAGGTTTTCCCTTCCCAGTGAACACCATTATATCTGAACACTCATGGGCCTCTGCTCTTTTTCACCAGATGGGTCAAACCAGAACACTCATTATTTTTCTGCTCAAAGCTTCTCTTCTAACTCTATATCCTCTATCACTGCCTTGCCAAGCACTTTGTAATTATTTTATAATTATTTGTCTCAGCACTGACTAAGCTGTGAAATTGAAAACAAACATTCTTACCTCCCAAATGCAAAGTCTGGCACAGAGCAAATACTCAATGAATGCATGTGGGACAGGATGGTAAGATATTTGAAAATAACATTGACTGCTTACACTTGCTGAGCCTTCATATGGGCCAAGCACCGTGTCGTTTTCCATTTTCTGAACTACCTACAGGGGAAGTACTATAACTGCCCATGGGTACATGGAGAGTTGAGGGCAGAAGTGGGGCTTGAACCAAGTCTGTACTTCTGTATTACCTTGCGTCCACTATTATTCTTGAAACCATACAGCATTCAAAGCAAGTATCACAATTAGACCTCATCAAAAGCATGATTTTAAATTATTTGGCTTTTTAAGACCATTCATAGCACCTACTGCAATTTAAAAAAAAAGAGAGAAGACTTGAGGCCAAAGAACACTGAACATTTACAATGTAAACAAACTCTTACCGGGCCAAGCAGTGACATGGTGGTTAAAGTGGCTGGATTCCACATGGCCAACATGGTGGTTCAAGTCCCGTACCTAACATGATGGTTCAAGTCCCGTACCCGGTGACTTGCGAAAACATGCCAAGTACATGCCCAAAATACTGAGAAGAGGCAGAGATAGGGGAGAAGGGACTGTGGTGTGATCAATCCCCGCGGAAATGATTTCTTACTTTCTCTCTCTCTCTCCATCTCTCTCCAGTGCAAGTATCACAATTAGACCTCATCAAAAGCATGATTTTAAATTATTTGGCTTTTTAAGACCATTCATAGCACCTACTGCAATTTAAAAAAAAAGAGAGAAGACTTGAGGCCAAAGAACACTGAACATTTACAATGTAAACAAACTCTTACCGGGCCAAGCAGTGACATGGTGGTTAAAGTGGCTGGATTCCACATGGCCAACATGGTGGTTCAAGTCCCGTACCTAACATGATGGTTCAAGTCCCGTACCCGGTGACTTGCGAAAACATGCCAAGTACATGCCCAAAATACTGAGAAGAGGCAGAGATAGGGGAGAAGGGACTGTGGTGTGATCAATCCCCGCGGAAATGATTTCTTACTTTCTCTCTCTCTCTCCATCTCTCTCCAGTGAGCACATGGGCCCTCTGGCAAAATTTAAAAGAAAAAAAGTATTACATTGTATGAAGGAATTAAATTTTTCTTAATCTACTTGTTTTTCTTTATTGTCTGAAACATTTTTTTTTCCTACTATTTAAGAAAAGGGTAAAAACTAACGTTGGCTTTGCTAGTCCTAAATATCAGTGAATTAATTCCTTATAAAAATTAATGTATCTGAGCCTTCCACCGTAAGATTTTAGGAAACTATAGCCTATGTTTATTTTAAAGCCTTACTTACCATTACTGTCATGTTGGGGTAAGAAAAGCGCACCTCCTGAAGAAGCCATGAACTGATGGTGGCTTCCACTCTCTGAGGAGACGTACCCATCCTGCCTGTCGGCTAGTGTTCCCTGAGATGACAAATAACTAGGGATATCCGCTGGCAAGTTGGTCTCATCTGTAATCAAACAGCATTCTATTAGCTGAGAGTGACCATAACCGTCCTGCCACCTTCCTGGATGAATGATACGGACTTGTCTATAGGTTTTTCTGTACAAATCAGAAAGGGAAAGTCTACCCAGGTGAAACCATCCTGATGTGCAGCACTGAGCAAAGACAAAGTAGGGCTTTGCTGTTCTGAGACTTCTGAACTGGTTTTCTACTTCATCACCCACTGGGTGTACCTCCCAAATTTCAAAAGCACCGATGTTTAAAAGATAAATGCTTAAGAATTTTCAATGAGTAGCATACAGTTCTTGAATTCTGCCATATTCTCTGCTTAATATTATTCACTAATGTACGAGGCTGCACAAATAAATCAAACCCTAGCCCCTCTCCCACTAATAACCGAAATCCTACACAGATGGTGCTTACGTACGTACGCACATGTGCACACGTGACTGAACATGTAACTACACAGGGAAAGCCTCACAACTGGAGGGCTGTTTCTGGTTCTCCATCACCATGCAATGAAAGAGTTAGATTACTGACTCTGTGATTTGGATTTTATCTCACAGCCAACAGGATCTGCTGAGGAGGTTTGAACAGCAAATATTAATCTGTAAGCATCAGCTTTACTGGGGCCAGGGTATTATTTTGAGCTAACCATATTTCTGCAGCTTGCAACAAATGAGTCACCCTTCTGAGATCGACTCAGACGGAAAGACACACATCTAGAAGAAAATGACTGCAAAACCACAAACACACATGACTACTGCAACCTGTGCCAAGCTTCTATTTACACACCTGTGTTAGTAATGCTGCAATCTTCATTCCTCCGCCTTGTGTGGTATATGATGACCACCCACACGAGCGACGTGCCCACCACACAGCAAACCACAGCTATGATCACGACACCCACGGTGGCCCAGCCATCGTCGTCTAACGATGGGGCGGTCATCTGAGGGGAGTCGCAGGTAGGAGTGGGGATCACACTGAGGCGCACGTTGCCTCTCTCTGTGCCAAGGGTGTTGGACATTTCACACGTGTACTTCCCAGCATCACTAACATCTGAGTCCACGATGATCAGCAGCTGATTGCCTGCTGCAAAAAAGTGCCTTTCGGTAACCACCAAAGGGCTGTCGTCCTTAGTCCAGTTCAGTCTCGGGGGAGGGCTCCCTCCTGCGATGCACTGTAGGACGGCCGTTTCTCCCTTGGTTACAGTTCGATCTAACAGAGGCCGCAAAAATGATGGTGTTTCTGAAAGGACAAGTTATCTTTTTAATTTCCTAAGTGCAATTTGGTTTCCACATCATAAGACCTGGGCACTTGAATTTGTCCTAATTGCAACCTAAAATTTTTTTCTCCCACAACTTTCGTGACATGGTACTTTAACTGCCAAAACATCCTCAACATTTGGGATTTCATTATTCTACTGTTGTTTACTCATGACACCAGTTAAGGATAATATTTACTACATTTTATCTCAACCTCCCTCATTCTTGCCAAGGTTGAGAAATTAGTGGGTGGTAGCAGGGAGTGCAGAACCTTTTTTAAAAATAGAAAGTTTAAAAATAATTTCAAGTACAAAAATCGATAAAAACAAAATCAGAATGCTAAGGCTTTAAAGTGACTTCTTAGGGTCTGATGCCTAGGCCTATATTAAAATTCTCACAGTAATTTATGTTCATTACTTAGTATCTTAATAGGTTACTTCAATGAACTCTTTCAAAGATATACAAATCATAAATGTGATTGTAAAAGCATTTGTTTAGGTAAAAGATGAAAAAGGACTCTGAGCTCCAAAATGATCCAGTAGGCTTAGATAAAAAGAGTAGGTCCTGCCTGATTGGTGCACATGTTTCTTTTTTCTATTTTATTTATTTACTTCTTTCCTAAGAACATAGACAGATACCCTCCTAAAGGGCCTTCATACTGTGATCCACTCGCAGCCACAGTCAGCCAGGATCATGGGTGCATGCACATACCCTGTGTGTTTACTGAGAGGTCTCAGGACATAAACTGAAGACCGTCCCATGTGGGTCCACTTTGTTACTGCTGTGCCACCACCTGGCCCTTCTTACATGTTCCTGACAGTGTTAAGACTTTGTTGAGACTACACAATGGGGAGAGAAGAGGAGGGTGAGCCTGCACAGAGGGAAAGCATCAGAGCTTTTACTTTTTCTCCTTGGCAGGGAGGAGGCAGATTCACCTCACTGGCCACAGACATGAGCATGTAATACACTCTCTGACAGGAGAGTTTCCAAGAGGCCATTTGTTCCTTCAGCAATGGGCTGTGCCCTATGGATCTTTATCGCTCACCTTCACAACTTCTAGCCCCACAGGGCCTCTGGGTGACCTAGCATCTTCAAAGCTGACTTACCCTACAGAATCTTGAAAAATCCACTTACCAAGCACAGTCAGAGTTGCATTTGCAGAAATACTTCCTGCACTGTTTTGAGCTGTGCAGCTATATACCCCAATGTCCTCTATCTTCACATCCACGATGAAGAATACATCATCCTCGGGCATCACATGCATGCGTCTCTCCCTTGCAGCTGGGAAATCTGTGCCCCCATCCTTTTGCCAGGCTATCTGAGGAGCGGGGTGTCCCACGGCAGCACACTCTAAACGTGCCATGGCCCCAGCCCGGATGGTGAGGTCCATGGGGGTCTTGGTAAACGAAGGAAGCACTGAAATGACAAAAAATAGAGTTGTTAACAGTGTGGACATTAGCACCAGGCTAATTAGCACCAGGGCACATTATCGGCTCCCTCATATTCTTTTTGTTTTTTTTTTTTTTATTTATTTATTTATTTTGGAGGTTTTTGCTATTGGGCGCATACGCTCACCAGAAAAACAGAACAGAAAGCGAGAAGTCGCCCCCCAGGGGGGATTTGGCCACACTGCAATCCCTTCTCCATTTTCCTCTCGAGATCTTGGGCATGCATGTGCCTGGTGTGAGTTTAAGCCACTGAGTCCAGGACTCGAACCACGGTCAACTACATGGGAGTCCAGCGACATAGCCATTACGCTAACTGCTGGTCCCATCATTTTTTGACTGGAGAGAAAATGAGAAAAGCCACCAGGCCCGGGACTCGAATTGTGGTGTCTAGAGCCTTAACATCACTTGCTGATCCCCAGCATGAGTTTTAAGCCACCAGGTTTGCGATTCACACCACGTTCGACCATGTGGAAGTCCAGTGATGTAGCCGTTATGCTATCTGCTAGTTCCTCACTTACTCTTTTTATGATACTCATAAAAGTCTAGGACACATATAAGGGAAGGGTTATTTCCAATTTCAAGACAAGACAACTGAAGTTGAAATAGAAACATTCAGTGACTTGCTCAAGGTTACACAGATACAGAAATGACAGCGTCAGAATGAAACAGGTCATCTGGTCCTCGGACTGAAGGTCTGGTATGTTCTAGCCACTGTTTAGTTTCCTATAACTAACTGTGAGATCTGAGCATATCAATTCATCTCTTTGTCACTGACCACTCACTTCGTCTGTTACTGACCACTCATGTCGCTCTAGATGGCTCCACTACTCTGTGACTGTAGAGATGTGTTTTGTCCCATAATTTAAACTCAAAACTGTTCTATGCACTAGGCCTCAGCAATCACTTGTTGAATGAATGCATTAACTAATCACTCCAAAATCTTCCACCATACTAGAGACAAAGGGTTAAATGATAAAATGGCAAGGATCTTGCTGTAAAATTGAATAGTTACCTCACAAAGGAAACAAGGCTATACTTTTGTTAACAGTAGCTAACACGTACTGTATTTACTGAGCATTACCTATACTCCATGCATTTTGCTAAGTTCTCCACACACATTATTTCATTTAATGATCATAGGTAGGCACTATTATCCTTTAATGAAAGACATGGAAATAATGTCATAGGTGACCAAGTAAGTTGCTGAGAATTACACAGCTATTAGCAGGAGTGGCAAGATGCACATCCAGATCTCCGAAGCAAAGGCAGTGTACCTTACTACTGGACTTTATGGTTTCCCACGTTATAATGAGCTCTCAAAGAGCACAACATGCCTGGTTCATCGCTGTGTCCCCTATGATGCCGACTATGGCGTCTTTCAATGCAGTAACTGCTACTTAGATACAACCAACCATCTGAATTTCCTGTGGTGAGAGGTGGAGGAAGGAAGCTAGGTGGGGAACTATAAGAGGGAAGAAGAGCGTTAGGAGTGAGAGAGGAAATCCACTGCTTTCTGCTCCTACAAGGTGTCTTTAAATGTAAAAGGAAAAGTCAGGTCACATACTATTTACGGTAAGCTTGGCTTTGACAGAGTAGGATGAACCGAAGTGATTGGAGATGACACACTGATATTTCCCTTCGCTGGCAAATTCCACATTGCGCAGCCGAAGAATGGTGGTATACTCCATCACCTCGCCACCTTGGGCTCGGAGGTGTGCATAATTTTCCATTTCAGCATCATGCAGTATTTCATTGTCTTTTTTCCAAGCAAAAGTCATTGGGGAATCGCTGCTGCTGGCAGCCGAGCATATAAAACTCAAATTGGAGCCTTTTATTGCCGACTGTGTTTCTGGCTGCACCGTGATCTGGGGTTTCGGAAAATCATCTGTTCAAAATGGAGAGGAGGAAACAAAACAATGTTAAGGCTCAAGGGTCCAAATGCAGCTCAAATCTGAACACCAAGAAATGCAAAACAAACTGTGGCTTAGGCTTTACCCTTGGTGTGTGTTTTACAGATGGACTGGCAGTCCCAGCGTTGAAATGATACACTGGGAGAGTGTTTACAAAGCAATTCATTTGAATCGAGGAGAGACTGAGACCTATTTATCAATCAATGTTACCTAAGAGGAGACTTATTTTGCAACTACCAGAAAACCCTGACCCCGTGTGCTTTGTATACACACAAAAAGAAAGCAGTTAAGACACTTGTAGACTCATAAATCACATCTTTGATCGCTACTATCAGGAACTTCCATATTTACCATGTTTTGCACAACAGCAGCAAATTAAGAAATTAAACATTAACCATGATAATTAATATCACTAAAGACAGCAATAAACACAGTCCATTTACCAAACACAGAACATGGAAATAATGTCATAGGTGACCAAGTAAGTTGCTGAGAATCACACAGCTATTAGCAGTACTTAAAAGTAGTAACTCAGGGCCAGCAGGTGACACGGTAGTTCAGATGTGATGCTGAACTCCCACGTGACTGACCATAGTTTTGAATTCTGAACGCAGGAACTGGAAAATCATGCCAAGGGTCTGGCAGATAGCATGGTAGTCAAGGCACTGGACCCCCGCGTGGCCAACTGCGGTTCAAGCCCCAGATCTAGTGGTTTACTATCTCACTTTTCCTCTCTTTCTCTGGTCAATTAAAACAAATAATAATAAATTAATCTATTAAGAAAAGGACATTATGTCAGGAGCATGTACATGCCCAAAATCCCAAGTGGAGAATGAATTACAGTGTAGCCATTTCTCCGAGGATGATTTCCCATTTTCCCTGTTTGTCTGTCTTTGGTGAGGGTATGCATCCTATGACAAAAACAAAAACAAAAACAAAAACAAAAACAAAAAAAGGTAGTAATATAGATAGAACAACAACAAAAAATTCCATAGCAAGAAAAACATCTCCAAAGCTCTGAGAGACCAAGTTCAGCCTGGAGTTGAGCAGCCAATCAGTCATGAGGCTGTGCTACACCTGTCAAAGCTACATTTCTGTTACTTTTTAGAAAAGGTACATTTTTGAGCTTAAGTTTCTCAGACATGGTCTAAACGCAGAGAGAAACATGCGAGGTCTACGGATTGTTGGAAAAGTCAGGACATACTTTTTCTGTTTTTCTATGCAAAAATAATACATCATGACTTTTCTGACAATACAAGAGAAAAGTGTAGTATCTGGATTCTTTGAAGGAATAATTTATGTGTGTGACCAGGGTTTAGGGGATACTCTGACAATCCCAATGCTACTACTTTTCAATGCTATGTTGTAATTAGGACAGTTTCTTCTTCTGTATGATTATCTGAAATTCTCAGTTGAAAAAAATCAATGTTTAATTTCACAATGGAGGAGTGAAAAAACTATGGTTATTGTAAACATATACACATTTCACAGTTTGGGGAGACTTCAAAAAGCTGAGGAAAAAACCAGAAGTAAAAATTTATTTGGTAGGAAAAAATATGAAATCCATGCATAGTTTTGTCATAATATACAGTTTCCAAGAACTTTTTTGAAGATCCCTCATAATAGAGTTCCTATCTTGGGACTAGAGAACTGTGAAATAAGGACCATGAAAAAGTAATAGCTCAGACCCTTACAGAGGAATGCCAAAAACATATTTGGACCAAAAAGCTACACAAGAGGTTTCATTTCCAGAAACTGTTGGCACTGTTTAATGCTGTAACCTAAAAAAAAAAATACTATAGTCAAAGCAATGTTAAAATTTTCAAAGGCCATATCAAATAAGGTTCTATGATATCTTAACACATATGCTTAAAGCAAATCTTGATTTCATGTTTTATAAACACATTTATTTTTATGAAGGTCTCCATAGCAGCTCAAGAGAAACAATAATGCAGTGTAGTAGAAAACGGTGCCAGAGATGAAAACTTTTTAAGTTTATTTTTTCCAAGAGTGTGCATACATGCAAGAGGAAAAGAGAGAGAGCATGTGCATGCATTCACCCCCCTCAACGAGGTTTGGACACCACAATCTACCCTCTGCTTCAGCCAGCCTCAGAGTAGAGGCACACGCATGTACTCAGGAAAAATCTCTAAATGCAAACCTGGAACTTGCCCAGGTAAGTCCACTTTCCTGAACACTGTGTTATACTGCTGTGGCATCATCTAGCTCCCCAAACATTTTTTTTTAATTGAGACTGGCTACTACCTAGCTACATGAACCTTGAATAAGTAGATTCTTAATGCTAAGATTCTTAGATACTAAAACAAGGGACCTCAAAATTATTTATAATAAATTCAAACTTTCTACTCCTGGAACAGTCTACCCAGCAACAGTTAAACTTCTTAGTAGCCTATACATCTTTAGCTAATCATTCATTTTCTCTTTCACATAAGACAGTCTCTCAACAAGCCCCTGAGTTAGGAAGAGCAGATAAATGGAGGCCCCATTTTATGGATGCAGAGAATAAGGTTTAGCAAATTTATGTTACGTAGAAGGGCTGGGACTGTCCTTCAATTCTCCCAAGATCCAATGTTTATCCTTTTTCCACCAAGCTACCCTGATGCCAAGACAAAGATGAAGACATTGTAGAAAACTCTTTCCCATCTGTAAAATTAAAATAATCAGCTAACTATAGAGCCATTTCATCTACCTCAGCAAAAATAAAAGCTTTATGAAGACAGCATAAATCAATTCAAAACCATTATGTGGACAAATGGGAGGGAAAAAAAAGAGAATGAATAAATGACCAAGGCAATGCTTATACTCACCACACACAAAGCCATCTGGGCTAACAGCAAAAATACTTCTTCCTTTTAGCAGTTGAGGATGGGCACAACTAGCAGTTACAAAGCTCTGAAAGTTGTTTTCTGCCACCCACTGTGGGAGCCATTTTAGTTGGCAATCACACAAAAGGCTGGATGTATTTAAATGCCTGAGGAGAGTAATTACATTCAATTTGTTCTGTATGAAATGCAGATTTCTACAAGTAAACTAAACTCAAGTAAATATTAACAAAGCAATGAATTATAAAGCAAATACACACTCATCCCATGTAATACATATTCTATAGTCTGTGTTGAAAATGCAAGAAATGTACCTAGCATGACTTTTTAAAAAAATTTCCTACTGAGGCAGAATGCTGATGTATCAAAAATACCTTACTACTGAAAAACTCCTACTCTAGTTAGGCACTGCACTATATTTGGTTCCACAAATTTAAGTTGTGAATTCAGAACAGAAAGAAGACGACTCATTTCCACAAAAGGAACAAATAACCGACTCTTTTTGTTTTCTGGTATAAAAGTTAAGTAATGTTAAGAATGTGCTAGACACTTTTATAGACACATAATCTAGGAAGGCATGCCATATGACAGTTACCCCCTCTACGCTTTATTTGAAACTCTTGGAAGGTAACAGAATGCTTACAGTTGTTGAAGTTTCTTCATTTGCGAAAACGCGTTGCCTTGCAAAGACATGATTGCGTTGTCACTGAGGTCTCTGAAAAACAGCCAAATCAAATACATCAGAGCAAACTACAGTCGTCTTGTGGGTTCACACAAAGTTTGTGCCCATACTGATCACCCTGTTTCCAAATTAATATGTTTTGTGTTGAAATGCATTATCAGAGCAGCTTGAGAAGAATCCATTGCAAGCTTGGGTTGAAGAACAAGAACGCATCAAAGATTCCTGTGGTGAGAGAGGTTCCCTTGCTATCACCACTCACAGGTCTGGACTCATAATGGCTCAAGTTGCTCTACTATCTGTTACTGGATTTCTTATCATTCAAATTTGTATCTTTCAAACACACAAATAATATCCTTCATAATTATGTTTTCTGAAAACATCAATTATAGAACATTCTCTACACTATGTATTCTGCTAAGCAATTTACATACAGCATTTATTCCTATGGCAACCTAAAAGAAAACAAACTCCATTACTACCTGGCACAACATGAAAGGGTAAGAGTTGAAATGATTTATTTTTAATTGTAAAACCTACGTTCTTAACCACTAGCCCTATTCTGCCACACACAACTCACTAATATAAAGGCAGTAAAATGTCCAGACAAGATGTACTTGTTAAAACAAACACATACTTTCGGCAGGACATTTATAAAACAAGGGAATATTTCAAGTGAATTTTATTTTTAACTAGCACTTGTAAGCAGTTTGAATGCAAGTATTCACCACAATGATTACTACTGTTTTTCTTTACAGGGATGAGAGTATACAAAAGGGACTTTAAACGAGACCAACAGCAACGGACAATAAAAAAGAAAGATAGCAGACCGGAGTGTAGTAAGAAGTTGAAAAAGTCAAGAATGGTTTAAGAAAATTGAAGCAGGGGTTAATACTCCACTCATCCACTAATTCCACTTTCCCAGAAATAGAATGGGCCAGATGACAAATACTTTTGGCTAGTTTTCCTCTGAAATAATCTGTTTCAGTAACTACAGCAATACCGAGCTGCCCTTCCAAAACTCAGCTTTGCAGAATCATTCTCCTACAATTTGAACTGCTGGACTGTGAGTATGACTAGCAAAGAAAATCTCCCTTGAACGAAATGGTACAACAGAAGATGCTTACAGGGGGGGTTATCAATAACAGCTCCATCTTCACACTCAATACGTTGCACAAACCAAGTGTATGTTTTAAATTATAACTTCTTTTGTCCAAGCTAACAGGTTTTAAAATTCTGACTACAAGCATTCCTTAGAAGTCAGAATAGATATACTATAATATATATTACTTTGTACTTTTACTATATAAGACACATACCCATGTTTATAAGCAGCTGGTTGGTTCAGTTATTGAAAACGTGGTGCTAATCAGCTTTTGACACTTTTAAAAAAGGTTAGCTAGGTTTTCCTCTCCTAGGGGCTGGAAAGTCCTGAGCCCTTAAATGTCATTTCAGAAATGTGTGCCAGTTGTGACTGAAAGTAGGGGCAAAGCAAGCATAAGAGTGACAGAGGGACGATGTGAAAACAGAAGCAGCTCTGGTTGAGTCTTGCTTCTGCCCATTTCTGGCTGACAGGTCAGTAATAAAAGAGAACAAGAAAAAGAGCAGTAATGAGGCAAATGGGTTAGCCATGCTAATTAACAGCAATACCAAAGCAATGAAGTTCGCAAAGTAGTATTAAAGCCCTCTGTTATGTCACCTTTAAGGATTGTGGGGAATTACACTTTTTCATCTCTAAAATCCAAGTCATCATCATCTTCTTTTTTTAAAAATATAATTGTCCAGTGGAATCAAAGAACTATCAGATCCTTTACATCATTTCACTTTTGAAGATAATAATAGCTATTGAGTAGTATTCTTGTCAGGATTAAATGGGATAATATGTATAACTATAATGCCCAACAATGTAGTAGATGCACAATGTGTGGTAGTTATTTTTCAATTAAATGTATCACTATTTGAAAAAAAACAAGAAAAATCCAGTAATGAAGTATAGTGATGTTCTTAAAGGCAAAGGAAAGCATCTACCTGTGTACACTCATATAGACAGAGGGACAGATAAGTAGGTCGGTAAGGAGGTAGGTAGATGAGAGACAGATGACAGGCGGGTATGGAAATGTACTGCATGTTACTGAGAGAATGCCGGCAACAACAAAAAGTCACATCCTAGTTCATCTTTCAGGATATATACACAGACCAGACAGCCATCTCAAACTACCTTTAGGGCAACTGTTAATAAATTCCTGCTACTCACAGGTGTTCTAATGCATCCAAACCAGTGAAGGCTTTTCTAGTAATAGAACGAATCCGGTTTCCCTGAAGTGTTCTGGAAAGAAAAGTTGGAAAAGTTCATTTTTTTTTTTTTGAGAGATTTTTTTTGCTGTAGGGTGCATGCACTTGCCAGAGAGACAGAAGTGAGAAATCACCCCCCACAACCGCTTCTCCTCCACTTCTCTTCCTAGGATCTTGGGCACACATGCACATGTGCCTAGTGTAAGTTTGAAGCCATTGGAGCTGACACTCGAACCATGATCGGCCAGTTGGGAGTCCAGCGACCTAACCGCTATGCCATCTGCTGGACCAGAAAAATTCATTTTAAAAGTCATTTTGGGGGGATAGAACTTAAAAAAAGAATAGTTTTTGTTAAAAAATTCTATTTTCTTTAACTAACAACATATCCTATACAAATGTATCCAGGCCCTCTACTTCAATAATACAGTTAGTTTAACAGCATTTAACATAATCTGCATTGGTTTTTAAAGCATTTAACAGACATCTAGCAAAGATAGGTATTCTATACTATTACTCTGATGGTTAAATTAAAGCAACACTTTCAAAGTTGTTTAGGAATAGGTAAAAACTTTTTTCTACGGAAATTGTCTCAGAACTCAAAGTAGGTACGATTTTCTCCTGTCCTTTTCTCTATGGATACCTTTGTCTAGGACTTCATGGAACACTTGATTTGAAAACTCTGGTTTTAAATAAAAATGTGTCCATCTGCATGACCATTTTATGGCAATACAAGGGGACTTCAAAAAGTTCATGGTAAGATGAAATTAAAATGCGAGTTTGTTTTGGTGCAAAACAATTTCAAAATTCATGCACAAGTTTTTCTTAATACATATTTTTTGTAAACTTTTTGAAGATTCTTTCTATACAATATAATCCTTTATTACTTAGAGTCTATTTCGACATTAACAGTGGACATTGAATGGATCCTTCATTTAAAAATTCCTGTGAGTAGGGCCAGCCTCATAGTGCAGTAGTCAAGCCCTGTGCATAAAGGAGCTAGATCTCACATGGCCTGCTGTAGTTCAAATCCTGGCCCTGGCAGCTTGAAAAACATACTGGGTACTTATGCACAGATGTCTCAAATCCTGATGGGATGGAAAAAGGGAGGTAAAAGGATTCTGATGTGGCCATGCCTCACTGGGGGTGCTTTTTCTCTAGCTTTCTCTCAGCCTTCCCCTTCCCAAGTAAACTCATGTGTCCTCTGGCAATTAAAAAAATTCCGGTGAGTAGAATGTAATGTTGAGGGTTTCAAAACGGGTGAATTAGTAAGTGTACTACTTTTAAACAGTGGTAATCCCAAAAAGTCTAGTCACTCAATATAATTCAAAATTATTATTTAGGTATTTTAAAAAGTTATACAAACTGCAGTGTTGGATATACAAACATTTACCAAAGGAAGAAAAGCTAATACAGATCTTGCGTAACAGCACTCATTTGAGGAACTGACAAAGGGTGGCAGTCAGAAATAAGCACCTATTTCTAATCTCTTTACATCGTCACCTTTGGAACTGACTTCAATTAGAACATTTTTTAAACAAAGTGAGCCAAATTATGAGGCAAATCCTACTCACAGTCGCCTCAGTTTGTCCAGCCCAGAGAAAGCACCATTCATGTCTTCAATGGTCCAGGAAATTTCATTGTTCTTCAGATCCCTGATTTAATAAAGCATTCTCTTTAGAGATCTGTTCAGAAACCTAACATCACCACCCAGGTGGCATATCACTTGTAACAAATTCCTCATAAATCCCCTAATTATCTCCACCCCTTTCAAAACAATAGAGACAAAAACTACCTTTCCAACACTTCTCTTACACTCTGTCCCGTTCTCTCAACCTTTTAAATTGTTGCACAAAATCAGGGCAGTTGACTCTGGCCCTATTAATTCCTCTATCAAGATGACTAAATTGTGAAAGACTTGAACAGTCTGAAAAATGTATTAAACTTTAAAACCACTGTTCTAACCACACCAGCAGGAGTCTGCCAAAGCATACAGCATGTCTTTCAATTATGTAATGCTTCAAATAGTGAACAGGGCAAAAGTTTCTGACAGTGCAAAAATCAAAAGCCCATTGCCCAACATTAAATTAACATTTGAGAGATTTTTCAAAGCTCAATTAATTCAACGCTCTCTTCTTTCTCTCAGAACAGAGATCTAGTCAGGAATAGAACTGGCATAATCAACAGGCATCTCCCTTCGCTGCCTTTTGTATATCTTTTTGCTCTGGGTAATTTTTAATCTGTATTTTATAAAGAAAAATGAGAGGATTTAAAATTGTTTCCCTCTTACGTAGTTACTAACTTCCTGGAGATCCTGGGAAGACTTAAGTGTAATCGCCAAAACAATCTGATCACTGTCCTTCTTAATCCCTCTAAGAAACACATATGGACGAAATGGATCCATTTTAATTCAACTGATCTGGTAAAGATTAAGACACTATTTCGGAGGCTGTATGCATTTTCTTGACAACAATGGAAATCTGCTTGGAGAAAAGTGGGTGCAGTGAGGAACCAATAAGGTTCTTATGAGGAGAGCACAATGTGTAAACTTACAGAGTCTTTAAACTGGAAAGCCCCCGGAAGGCACTGTCTGCGATATAGCTCACTTTGTTGTTCCCAATGTGCAGGGTATTCAGTAAGCTTAGGCCGAGGAAGCTGGAGTCGTCTAACCTCGACAAGTGATTGAAAGTTAGGTCCCTGTCAAAAAGAAAGGCATTTTAAAAATGAAGAAAATTCAACATCATAATTTGTTTTCCAAAAGACAAGTAAAATAAATGTCACTGTAATCATCCTGACTTTAATATTCTGTCTTCATAATATTAAGGAAAACATTATTTCGAACCTCAGAATTTTAAAAAATACACATTCTGTTTATATGAACATAACAATCATTGCTTTTACCCAGGTACCACAGGACTGAAACAGCAGTTGGCTTCAACTTATCACAACCAAAACATGACTAGGTTGCATATGAAAAAAAGCTATCACCTTGGAAACTTTGTTAGGAAAATTTCACAGATCAGTGGTAAGAAGCTCATGCTCTGGCATGATCCCTGCTCTCAAACCTAGGAAGAATCAAAAGCAACTCACAGCTCACTGAGTTTCTGGCAAAACTCCCAGGCGTCAGGGCTGATTCTGTTGATGGCATTCTGGCTGAGATGAAGTTCCTGCAGCATCAGCAAGCCGTAAAGCCAGCCTTTGGTAATCTCTGTCAGGTTGTTATGGTCCAGCTGCCTACATTTACAGTAAGAATCAAAAGTAGGATCAAAAGTTCATTACCTACTGTCTTCAAAGATGATGCATGATTACAGACTATTATAGATTCCTATTGTTCCTAGATGTTTAGCTTGGGTTATATGAAGACATCAGCAAAAAAAACCTATAAATTCTTTTCATTTATGTGCTTATAATTCTCCATCACATTACCTAAAATAAAATTGAGTACCAAGGTATAAAGATTGTGAATTACAGGATTTAACAGAGGATTTCAAATAAGAGCTAGTGAATAGAGCATCCTGTCATCATACTAGGTAAGCGGGAAATGCAGTAACCCCCACTTACAAGATTTCCATGTTGCTCAGACCCCAAAAAGCTCCATCCATAAGTTTTGTTACTCCATTTCTTTGCATTTTCAGAGACTTCAGAGCACCAAGTCCTTGGAATGTGAGTCCATCTATGTTTTTAATCTTGTTTCGGTTCATTTCACTGCATTGGATGTTTCAATTAAACAGTTAGCTTATATGACAATCAAATTCTGAAAGTAGTAATAAAATGTGTCATCCCTACAATATAGTTAAACCAGTCAGTGTTAAATTATATACAATGTTTCCCATTTCTAAACATTTTTATTGAGAAGAATTTCAGTATGTTAGCAGTGAGTTGATTTCATTCTGATATGTGTGATGTATTTTTTGAATAATGAAATATTGAAATTAGGTTGTACTTTGAATTTCTAAACAGTTGTCTACTCATTATAGAAGCAAATAGATGAATATTTGTTTTTAAATGATCCAGCCGACGAATATAGATGATTATTCTGAAACATGAGATCTATGCAGGAGCAGGGCCATCAGGTTTATCCTGCTCAATCTGCTTACAAAGTTACTGTCGTTCATGATTCTTCTCAGGTTGAATGCTTTCTCTTTAGACCAGGAGTTCTCAACCTCGGTTGCACTGGAATCATCTGGGGAGTTTTAAAAATTACTGAAGCCTCAATCTTACCCCCAGAGGTTCTAATATAATTGGTCTAGGGTGTGGTCTGGGCATTGGGATCTTTAAAATCTCCCCCAAGAGTCTGTAATGTGCAGCCAGAGTTGAAACCCACAAGGCAGGGGCTTGTTCACAGATCATTCTACCATTATTAATGAGACAGTTCTTCCCAGCCACTTAAGCTATCAGAGCCTCCTGGAGTTGTTGGCATCATTCTCGTAAGCCACGGCCATGGAGGGCTCCCATGAGTTCTTCAGTGTCACAATGCACACCCTCCCAGGGGATGGTTCAATGACTACACTGCTCACTTTTTCAGTAACAATCTGAGGTGTACTGTCAGGCAGCAGTTGGCACCAGATTATGTTTAAGGCTCCTTCTCAATTTGGAGATTCCTGTTTCTTTGGCTCTCAGAGAAAAGGTGGCCACATCCCTGCTCTAGACTCCTTTTGCCACATTGTGGATTTTAGGGGATAAACATTGAAGGTTTGGAGGAGGTGAGAGGAGAATTTCTAAGAGGACATTTTACTTACAGGTGTTGTAGTTGGGGCAGTTTAAACATCTTAGGTGGAATGGATGAAATTCGGTTCCTGTTCAGCTTCAACACCAACAGTGTGTTGGCCAAATTGTCAAAACACCCAGGTTCCATTGATGTGACTCGGTTGCTGTTGATATACCTGTTGAAAGTTTAAAGATGATCCTCTCTTTCTTATTTCTTTGGGACTTGAAATGCATCTAATCTCCATATTATAAAGAGTCTCTAGAGAATGTAACCATCAATGGATACTTACAATAATTACTGTTTAAGTCCTTGTGGACAGATATTAAGATTCACATATATTCCTTAGAAAAGGGTAAACGGGGGAAAAACAGATGGTGTAGTGGCTGTGTCTCTCGACTCCCACATGGCCGACAGTGGTTTGAGCCCATACCCGGTGACTTGAAAATTACTCCTGGGTGCATGTGCGTGCATGCCCAAAATCTCAGGAAGAAAATAGAGGAGAAGGGATGTGGTGTGGCCATTCTCCTGAGGGGTGATTTCTCATTTTCCCTCTCGCTGTGTCTGCCTCTCCCTCTGCACATGCCCTCTGACAAAAACCTCTAAAAATAAAAAGCAAAAAGGGTAAATGGAATGTCTGAAACTTTGTTATGTATATTTACCTTTTTAAAAAACAAATTGCTATAGGGCATGTGCACTCATAAGAGGAAGGAGAAGGAGAATGAGAGAAAGCAACCCCTGGAGAGAGGGCCATGGCATAATCTCTTCTCTTCGATTCTCCTCTAAAGATTTCAGGCACATGCCCACATGCACCAAGCATGTTTTCCAAGTCACTGGGTCCAGGAGTCAATCACACAGTTGGCCATTTGAGATCTAGCCACCTTAACAACCATGCCACTGGCTGGCCAGATACCTAATTTTTATTAAACGCATTTATTAACAAAGTGTAGTAGGGGGCCAGATGGTGGTACAATGGTAAAATATGATGCTCTGTAGGGCTGACCAACATGGGAAAGTTCTGGATTCAAGTCCAGAGACCTGAGTATGCCAGGCATGCACGAGTCAGTGAATCATGGCTAGCTGAGGCTGGAGGCAGGTCACTGCATCAGGACCCTGCTGGGGTGCAATGTCTCCCTCTCTCCTGCTCTCTGTCTCTCTCACTCATGGAAAGAAGAAATAAACTTAAAACAAGTTAACATTTTTTGTAAAGAAAACAGCAATGGTTTAATATTGACCTTTTAAAAATACTTTCATACCACCTGGTTTTTCTAACAAAGAATGTCTAAATTTCTATAATCCAAATGTATAAAAATAAGATGGAGATTGGTTATTTGGGCTTATAGTACATTTCAAATCAATTAAGTCATTTTTTTTATCTTTAAGCAGTTAAAATAAGCAGTTTGTTACAAAGTTTTTCTTCATTATAATACAAGATTTTCATTACAAATGAAAATTTTTGTTAAAGAAAGCATTACTTACAGATATTTGAGTTGTAGGGATGGAAATGCAGTTTTAAGCTCTGAAATATTATTGCTGCTCAGGTCCAAAGTTTCAAGGGACTGAAACTGTTTCAGATGTTCAGGTAATACTTCAATAATCCTGTTTCCAGCCCTGGAATTAAAAGCACAGATAATGGTAAAATAATCTGAAGACGAAAAAAAAAAAAAAAGTTTCTATTTCTAACTTGTTCTGAAATATGGAAAACTGATTTAACTATTACTTTAAAAACATAAATGTCTAGCAAGTGACAGGGTAGTAAAGGTACTGGATTCTCACATGGCCAATTGTGATTTGATTAGAGTCCCAGACCTGACACTTGAAAATCACACTGGGTGTGTATGTGAGTGCCTAAAATCTTGAGAAGAGAATGGACGAGAAGGGACTACAGTATGGCTATCACCCCCAGGAGGTGATTTCTCACTTTTCCTCTCTGTTTCCCTCCAGCGAGTTCATGTACCCTTTGACAAAAATCTTAAACAAAGGAAAAAAAAAAAGATAAATAGCAATATGATGGCCACTTTAATTAATTCCTTAAATCATAAATCATAGTATTAGATATCTGAAGAACATTCTTACATAAATCTGGAGTACCGTTTACCTGCTGTATTGTCTAAACACTATGCACTTAAAGAGAATTGCTGAGCTTTAATAATTCTTCTCATTTTATTCTCTAGTATGTGAAATGCCTAGCACTAAGTTAGCACCCTAGGTACTAATGATTACCCCCGTTCCTTCTTGGTTCCTACTCTATCTCCAATTGTTCTCTTGAAAAGGAGCCACACTACCAGTACCAATGAACTTAAAATACTCATCACATTTAAAGTCATGTTAGAGATCTTTTCTTTTCCTTTTTTCAATTGTTGGAGGGCACATGCACTCAATAGAGAGAGGGAGAGGGAGAAAGCACCCTTTCGTGGGTGTATAACCCCACCATAACCCCATCTCTACTTCTCCATTCTGTAAGGATCTGGGGCACACATGTACAAGTACCCAAGTGTATTTTTCAAGCCAGTAGGCCTGAGATTTGAATTGTGATCAGCCACATGGTTTCTGGCTTTCCTTAACCAATAGGCCACAAAACCAGTCCAAGAGCTTTTTTCCTTTAAGTTTCAAGAACTAGTATAGTAAGTTTCAGAGCACCGCCATAGTTTTAAGTACTTCAAATCTTTCAATATTATAAAAATTATTTCACAAGAGCACACCAGTTTAAATAATCTCTGGGTGTAATGAGATTGAAACATGTTCTGACATTAACAATTTTAAACACCAGACCACAATTTCCAAAATGGAAGCCACTAGCCAAGTGTGGCTCTTCTAATTTGAATTACAACTAAATGTTAAAATTTAATTTTAGTTACAGTTGCCACATTTCAAGTACTCAATAGCTACGTGTGCTTAGATACCAAATGGGACGGTACACATAATGAACATTTCCACCACCAATGTTATGTTGCACTACAAATGTGGGAGGAAAAAAAACCCAAAAACCAAATAAGGTTAAAAAAAAATCTAAGTCTAATCTCTTCGAAGTTCATCAATACAATAGCTCCCAAGAGAAATTTCAGCATTTTGCTAAAAGAGGAATCAAATGGATTCATAAGTCATCTTAATTATCATATTCAACCAGGTAGCTTTGTCTTTTTGGACCATTACTTGCAGGGGAAAACAACATGTTAAGGTAAAAAGGTTGGGAAGATAACAGAGTCTACCTCCCTACTGGAGAAAGGCCTTCTCTTGGGGCCAAAAGGTGGTAGGTGGTTAAGTGCTAGACCAACTTAATGGTTTGAGTCCTGGACCCAGTGACTTGAAAAACATGCCAGGTGAGAGGAGGATGGAAGAAAAAGCTGTGATCTGGCCATCCTTCAAGAAGGTGATTTCTCAATTTCTGTCTCTCTCTAGTAAACACATGTGCTCTATGAAAAAAATTAAAGAAATGTTCAAAATGACAGATCTACTCTCTACACACCCATGGAGCAATGAAACAATCTGAATGCTCTAAACAGAACTCTGTATCTTATACAACTCACACATTGGTATCTCTACATGGCCTGCAGTTATTTTTCACTTAACGAGAAAATTCTGTAAATATATCTCATATGGGTATCTTCCTTATCAGTAACTGAATTTCTATCATGCTGAGGGTTTTGATTTTGCTTTTCTTAAACGTTAATGCAGAGTCTGACCATATCACAGTCCTCCTGACTCAGACTCCCCAGTCACTGGGATTATAGGCACACACCACCACAGCTGGCCTTCAGATTGGATGGGGAAGAAAACATGAGCCTCCCATGTGGTCCCAGCCTGCAGAACAGCATCTCAGCAGTGCAAGCCACTGGGTCTGTGCTTTGAGTTTACTAAGCTCCTATGACACATTCTGATACAGCACTTACACCACTGGTCCTCTCTGTTCCGAAGCAGGGCTATGCCTCCATTCCTTTGTCTTGGCATATCAGGTCCCAAGTCTTATGTAAGCACATTTCATATATTATGCCACTTAATCTTTATAACATTTCTCTGGTATAGATATTATAAACCATTTTAAAACTGAGGAACTAGGGCTTTTTATCAAACAAGTACTTCTAAGCCTCCTCACAGAGTAAGTCAGGATTGGTTCCCAAGCGATTCCTAAAGGCTTGTTTCATGGAATACAAAGCATCAAAGATATTTTGGCCATTCACTTCTCAAATGGAGAAGTACCTCCAGAGAAGTTCCCTACTTTTTACCCTGCAAATATGCTGAACTTCTAGTTTTAAACCCTAATGTTGGATTCCACCCTGGACCACTAGGCCATCATTCTGCCAACACCAAAAATGCCCCAGAACAGGCCCCTCCCAATCTGTGCCTGCAGCTAAATGAGACAAGAGAGAGTCCGTCAGGGTCTAGGTGTTCGGCCTCCAACAGACTTACAAGGCTGACTTCCTAATACGTACAAATGTCAGGTGCTGCTTTCTCTGCAAGAATGGGGGGGGGAGAGGAACAACAGGTGGCATGGTGGTTAAGGTCCTGGACTCCTGCATGGCCGACCACAGTTCAAGTCCCAGACCTAGTGACTTGCTTTCTTGCTTTCTCTCTCTCTCATCAAATTAAAAAATAATAATAAATAAAACTGAGTAATTCTTAAAAAGGTTAAGTAACCCTATACAAGGTAATAAGAACAGACAATGTATATCTTAAGAGTTAAACTCTGTGATAATAGAAAGTTAAAAAATAAAAGTTCAGCAGTCCTATGTGCAAGTCACAAGTATCAAGCCCCTCAGACTTCCATAAAGCCTTTCAGACTTTGTTTAGAGTCAAGTCAGCCATGACCTCTGATTTTGACCATTTCCCACATCTGGATTCGCTGGCGTAGAAAACCCTTGATCTAGTTGTGAGGTATGGGGTGATGCAAGTGAGACAATTAGTCAATTTCTAGGTCCCGGAGATGGATTTAGCCCAAGAGACAAGCCACAGGGCCTTAGGGTCAGAGTGTGTGGGTTAAGTAAAACCACACTTCGGGGCACAAAAATTTTCTCTTAAATACATAATCCGAATGTTTGCATTACCAGGATGTCCTCCCACAAACAGTGGAGTAACCTTGAAGTGCCCAAGAGCCCCCTCT